ATTGTTTCTAGGAATTACACAGGGGAGGGGGCAATAATAGTACAGACTCTCTCTCTCTCTCTTTCTCTCTCTCTCTCTCTCTCTCTCTCTCTCTCTCTCTCGACATCTCAGAGTCAGGAAAAGATGAAGGGTTAACCTTCCTGTTTCCCTTTACATTTGAATAATTGTTGTAATTTAACTATTTTAAAAATAAGACTATTCCAGTATGTTTATGAAATTATTAATGCGATGCAAAAGGGTTACTCCGTAAATCATGAGCTTGCAAACTTGAATGGTAAAAGTCGGGTAGTTCCTTGAAAGTTAATAAAGTTGTTCACCAGACTTGTCGTAGTTACTTTGTAATATCGTTGCTTGCTAGTGGTGTAGTGTGTACTAGTTGCTTTTAACTATTACTGTCACTTAATCTTTATGTATTAACTCTGAGTCATTTTAATCTTTTAGTCTTAATCTAAAGTGAAATTATTACTTAATATTACATCGTAGTTCAACTGTTCTCAGTAAAACTTTTGCATCTATGGTTATTTTATTTTTATGCATCGAAAAATATTTTGTTTGTTTTTTATTTCCGGTCAGTATGGGCCAGCGTGCATGTATACGAATCATCATTGTGCTGCAGGTACGAGTAACTTGCCAGTGATTCATCTTTTATCAGACGCACGTTGGTCCTTGCTCAAAATACTTTCAAAACAACACGAAAAATTTCCAAGGAATGAGTAGGGAAGAAATTATTAGTAATTTTAGTTTACCGACGTTACAATGTATTATGAGTAAATTAATCGTTGCGCTAGTAAGCGTCCGCAATACCGATTCCAACTGCTATTTATGTCCAAATAATAATGGAATTTGTTCTTAGGAAAACCAGTAATGATAATTAGGAACTTGTTTGTTTTTTAACTATGTGTAAGTAAATATATATTAAGGCTCTTAGATGTCTGCAATAATTACTTCAACTGCTATTTCCATTTAACTAATAAAATTAGTTTTTAAGGAAGCAAGTGTAAGTAATGGTTAACCAAACTATTCTTTGATTTTGTATTAGGAGTCAATAAATTCTTCAGTGCGTCAGCACCAGCAATGATTATCCTAAATGGTTAACAGAATTGCATGACTATCCAGTAGTTCTGGTGTTGTAGGGATTTCAGTGGTCTATTCAGTGGTTCTAATGTAGTTGTAGGCAAGTCCAGAGCAAAATTTAATATCCAACAGTTCTTCAGTAGCACTATTATAACTATCGTTAAGGCAATAGATTCGGCAGTAGTTTTTGAGTGGTTTCATTTATAAATAAATCCGTAATTATTTTATTATCGAGTTCAGAGGTTCTGATGTAGTTGTATGTGAGACAACATCATAATGTGACATCCAACACCTATGTTATAGTATTTTTATAGCCTTTTTAAAGTGATAGTCTCGGCAATAGTTAGTCAGTAGTTCTACTAGTAAACCAAAAAGTAATATCATCAGTTTCTTAAGTAGTTTTAATGTAGTTGCATGCAAATCAATAACAAAATATAATTAAAACAGTTGTTGAGTAGTGTTTTAATAGCAATTGTAAATGTAAAAGTTTTGTCAATAGTTAGTCAAAAGTTCTACCTTTGTTTGAAGAGTATAATTGTGTCTTTAGTTTATCTAATAGTTATATTTTGTTGGAGTTGCAACTAATTGAGAAATTTGGGTAACAAAAAACTTTATTCTCACACAGGATAATTGTGTGACAAAAATGTTTTTTTCTCTGAATTGTTCGAAAAATGCCAATTTTCTACTACACTTGGTTTGATGGCGATAATGAATAACCTACGTGAAAAAGTCTAGAAATGGAGATAAAACTTCGGAAATTTTCTCTACAATGTTGTTCAAATAATTATAATGTTCTTGTTTAAAAATCTACTTACCGTAAAACGCAATTTGTCGGCAATTTACAAAATTAATTTGAAAAAAAAAAAAGAGATTTTTTAGGATATTATCACCCACACTTTAAACTTGAACTCTTAACTCTTAACACTTTTTCTAAATAACAACTTTTTAGTCATGGAATAAGACTCTATTAACAATCTTAAAAGTGTTATTTTTGCTGAGCTCTGCGGTTCTCTTTGGAAACTAGATGTCTAATTTTAATTTAATAAATTATTCTAAGCCTACATTTTTCTTAAACTGGATGCCAAATTATTTATTTAATAATGTTCTAACCTTTGTCTGAAAACTTCAAACGATGCAAACCTGTTGAAAATGATGAAGGATTCTAGCTTTTCAATATTGCATCATTTGTTTACAGCGTCTAAATATGTGTAGATGTATTATGTAGATTAAAAAATAAAATGTTCTCACAAATGATTTTATAAAGAGCATGGTTCCATATGGGGCACAACGTTAAGCAGCAGATGTTTTTTTATTTTTTTTATGTGATGCGTTCAGTATTGGCCGATCGTTTAGTGGCTCAAATTTTGAATATAGTATATTACGACACAAGGCCTCAACGTTGGATTTTCTGACGTGAGTGGCGAATGTCCGAGGCGAAGCCGAGGACACTGTACCACGGACGCAAGGATATACAACGTTCTGGACGTGTGTCGTATCCTATTTTTCTTGATTTCCCCCCGAAAGTACGTTTAATATTTAATATTTATCACCATAATCACTTCTACTTGACGCTCATTACTGTGTGTGTATACCTATAGCTATAATTTTGAGTTTCTTGTAGAGCGCTTGTCGCACCATCTGTCGGACAGTATGTAAAACGGTACTTAATGCTTGGTTTCTGCTGCTAAGCCAGTTACGGCTACGACTTAGGAAGTTATGTTTTGATGTTCGCCCGACTTTCACTGAACCGAGGCTAAGCCGAGCAGATATCGAAAATAAACAAAAAAGAGTATTTATTAAATAAATAAATGAAAAACATAAGAAAATTTTATAAAAGTAACATTTACCTTTATTGCTTTTGCGAATCAATCTTTTAATTTTTTTTTTTTAAATCCATACAATAACATTTTAGTAAATAACTTCTCTTATATAATTTTTTTATGTATAATTCTTTATTTTTTGTTCAGTACGTTTAAGTAACACTTACTCTGTAGTAATAGTTTTGAACTAGAAAATTTTTGAAGATTTAAAAAAATGAATATTAATGCACACACAATACAGTTGTCAACGGCTTAAGACTTATCATGATCATCACGCTATCTATAATTTTTATCTAGTTATAAGTACTTTTTTTCTTTCATTCGAAGATTGTAGATCGTTGTCATCAGATGTTTGATTAACTGTAAAAATGACGCTCTCTTCGGATTGATTACGATTCGGTACTTGAGAAGGTTTGTTATTAAAGTTAACTTTCACTGGTGACTTCGATAAAAAAACGTTTACTGGAGCTCGGTTTACAGTGAATTATTTTCGATGTTTATATTTTGTTGTTATTTGCTGCAACAAATGTAGTTTTTAAAATTTTATCGAAAGCTTTAAAAACTTATTAAATATTAATCTGAAATTTGAAAATCAACTGTTGTTTACTGGCACGCATGACAACAGCGGGTGCGGTTAGGTTACAGTCACACGATAACAGATTAAGTCGGACGAACAATCGAGCAGTGATCAACCAAAAAAGTTACGCTTTCTGGAGCGTAAGGATACCACGAAGGCTCGTACTTTCGGGGAGGGAAGTAAGAAAACATCTTTTTAAATTATTCGTTGGACTGACAGTTTTCTAAATGCCAATGTATGCAAAATTTCACGAACTTTCTTGAACTAGTCTTTTTTTTATCATTGTAGTAGTCATTTGAGAGCATTTCTTTTGAAATGAGTACAGAAAAACACAGATTCTCGTAAGAACTCGTATTGTGATGTACCACTTTATTGCTATGTAGATCAAATAATTACTCAGTAAAAACTATTTAAAAAATGCTCACTGAATTCTGGTTATCCAATCAATCATACTTCTGAATATTATTTAGTTAGTTGTTATTTGGTAAAAAGTGAAAGTCTCCTCAATTGACCGAATCTTGACAATTTTTTAGGTTGAGGGTAACTGGACAGAGAAAATAAAAAGGACCCATCTCTTTTTGTATTTTTTTTTTTGTGTCATGAAATTTTTATTTTCTAGTAGTAATGCTAACGATTTTGTAAGTTAAAATTAAACTATGATACTGTAACACGAAACACTACCCTATGGCTAAAAATACTGTGATATTATATGGTGTCTGAAACAGCCATGTTTGAGCCTTACGGTTACGACGAATAAAAAAAATTTTTTAACATTTATTTAGTCAAGCGTGGATTATCTCGCATTTTACCAACTCTATTACATTATTTTTGATGTTTCAAAGAACCGATAAACTGAAAAATATCAGCTTTGAGTCCATAATATAGTACTTACGATAAAGTAAAATAGATGACACATGAAGTTGTACAGGTTAATGAAATAAATAAAAGTGTCATAAGACATAAAGTATGCAGTATAGTCTTGGAATATTATAGACTATTCATAAATCCATTGAATAATGAAAAAAATTACTGTTTCATCAATTGAAATAAAGTGAAGAATTATATGTCTGAAGAACGGTCTTCCACATTTAACGTGACAATATTTTATAAAAAATGTCTGAAATGGTAATTAAAAGACGTAGAATAATAGTTATAATAATAGGATATCAGAATGAGGATAGGAAATAAAAAAAGCAACAAAATGCAAGTAAGCAAAGAATGTTTAGTAATAAGTTCAACAAGAACTTTATTGTATGGAAAATATCTGCGTATTTACAATATGTTTAAGTCTTTTCGTAAACTTCGTCGACTATTCTCACCATCCAGCGCCCTTAACTCTGAATCCGCAGAGAAGAGAAACACACAAAAAATAATGAACTTCAAGTACACAACAATGGATGATGCATTTGGTTGCATGTATGAATTTGACGTCATGAATGTTATCCTGACAATGATCCATTGACGAAAAAGTTATGTTTTTTCTTTGGAGAGGTGTAGCGTAGCATCTTAACGATTTTGTGGATGTCGTAGCTTTGCCATACCAGTTATCTCATGATAGCTACATCCTCTCAGATTCTTGACTCCTGCACAGATTTAAGTTTTTCCATTACAAAACTTTTCTCACTCTTATCTATAGCTCTGTCAAAAGCAACTACATTAGTGTTTAAAGCAGATCCACTTTTAATCGACTCAGCTCCATTTATTTTTATCTAGTTCTACGATTATAATTACAGTGATGGCTAGAGAAAATTAATAGTATATTATGTATCTAGTGAGCAAGGTTAAGAATGTCGCAGAATTTCTGTGAATAAACGTAAAATCTAGGATGTTTCTTAACCCTGGAACATAGAGCGTACACGATTTTACGTGTTCTGGTGTTCGGGAAAACAATATCATAAATGCTCATATAAATGCTATTTCGTCGTATGATTTTTTTTAGTATTGGCTACATAATTATATCTTAAAAGATTACTTGTCACATGACTGATGCCTTTTTATTTGATCTGTGATTGGAAAAGCCTCGTGAAAAGTGGATAAATTTAAAAATGAGTTGCAAAAAATAAAGTTTAACAAGCTAATATTTAAAATGATTGAAATTTTCTAACGTTTAGTTTAAGAAAGTGAGATCTTGAAGTATTTATCATGGATATAAAATTAAAAAAATTGTTGATACAATTATTAGATTAAAGCAAGGATGTGAATAATAGATAGCAAGAAAATTAATTTTTCTTACTTTTGACATGATAGAAAGTGCAGCACAGAAAATTGTTGTTACCAGAATAAGCTATACCAAAAGTGATAAGCATAGAAAAATAACGTACAGGTCTTTAGATTTCTGCAACTAGTCTCACATTTTTGCATACTTTTCTGCATCACCAAAAAACCTGTAAGGAGTCTGTTTTATAACAATACTAGTACAAGTTTTTCAATAGCGTCGGTACAGGATTTTCCTGTACCATGGCACAGTTTAGACAGTTGCGACACTCCATACACAATTGTGTCCTAGATTTCTCAGTGCACATGTGCCATTTTGTGCTACCAAAAATATGGTGGAAAGGCGCGCAGCACAAAATCATAAAAAGCAGAATTAGCTGTTATAAAAAATTTTGTTTGTTTGTATTTTATTTGACTGACGAATGAGTGTATGAAAATAATTTGGATATAAATGTGTTAATTACTAAATATTTAGCTTAAAAAGAACTTTTAATGTCTGTTACAACATCGTACATTGATGTATGTTAGCATTTCAGTTTTCACGGCCTGTGCGACCAGGAATATGGCGCCTGATGGCAGACACTTTTTAGCACGGAGTGTCGCAACTGTATAAACTACATTATGTGCATGTATATATATCCATACATATTGGTGAATATTTGTTACAAGTATAGGTACAGCTACAGATATTCCGAGTGCTTCCACTGGCCAACTACGTTTCTGTACCAGTACAGAAAAAACCCGTACTACACATCAGATTTTTACGTACTAAGCATAAGGAATAGTTACTTTCAATAAGGTAATTTAAAGTATATTTACTTTTGCTACAAATATACCTCTACTAGTACATATTTTTCTTGTAAAGAGTATCGAAAGTACTTGTACTAACTTATAAAACCTTTTTATTTTGGTAACAACAATTTCGCGTGAGAAAAGTCATTTGGTTTCATTGTATATTAAAATTGCATAACAAAAACAAAAATAGTTGTAAATGTCTGTCAGATCAAATAACAAAATAATTAAAGCACGCGAAGCGCGTCTAATATAACTAGTAAAATGATACTAATAATAATAATAAAATAACACTTTCTGGAGTATTTATTAGCACACGTGAAATAATGTTTTAATGAAACTTTCTCTGAAATTTTTTTTATATCTTAGAGTGTTAGTAGTAAAGCCATAAGGTTTTAGCTAGAACCACATTTTCATAATAATAAGTTTTTTTTAACGATTTGAAAATACTACCTTATCATTATTTATTCAGAAATAAGTGTATCTCTTTTAGCCCTTCAGGGCAGTCTGGAGATAGTTGAAATTTCTTACCTCATCGGTAAGGTTACTCGAATTGCATAGCTTTATAACATTATTTATTGAGCAGCTAGCGATTTTATCGAAAAAATAAGAGTAGACGGACATTCTTGACACATCAAAAAACAAATCAAGCCCACAGTTGACAAAATTGATTGAGAATTCAAGGCAAAAAGTGAAAAATCAGATATTGGATTGATAAGATGTAATCTTGGCATGTGTAGGAAATTTTAACTATCTTCGGACTGCCCTTAAATCGTCTATACCAATTTTCACTCACAGAAATTGCATACTGATCCACTCAAAATCATAGCAAAAAAATTCCAAAAAATGAGTTACCTGAATGAATATTGTCGCATGTTAGTTAAGGCTCATCTTGCCATTCCTCAGTAGGGTCTCCATACATCGTTCCTCTGCTCATTTTCCTCACCCATGACCCCGATCTCAAGCCGATTGTTGCTGATCGTGAGATTGCTATTTGCCAGTGCCTCTTCGCTCAGGTGCAAGTGTATCTGGTTTTGGTTAATCGTGCTAGTAAAAACCTGGGGATAGAGAACCATGGGTGTTGGACTGACGTAGTTCTGGGCAACAGCTGCTGCGGCCGTGTTCTGATGGTGGTAGTAGCCTTGGTAGTTTGGATTATAGTGCATAGGAGTTGCTGGCGTGGGAGCGGTCGCCCAGCCACCATAGGCGTGGTGGTACGCTGTCGCTGTGCCTGGACTACCCATGGATGTGCAGTACATGTCGGATGTATCGGTGATTGACTTCGCTGCGGCTACAATAGATGCACTGTTTTGGGTGAGAAGCAAGCTTGACGGGGGTGACATTGTCGCTGCACCCACGTCAACGTTCGGGTACATCGAAATACAGTTCGGCACGTACGCATCCTGCTGGCCATCCGATGAAACTGTTAAGTGAATATAGAAGTTAATTGCAGTTGATATAAAGGGATATCAAATATTTTAAAATTCGCCATAAACAAGTATATACTTATGTAGCTGAACTAGCTACTACGCGCAGAAAATAATCACTCTGTTTTAAAAAGGGATTTTTTATTCTTTAAAGAAAAAAGGGTTATGCAATGTTGTTCAGAGAAATTCTCTTTAGAGAATGACGTTTTCTGTCTCCTTCGTTTCAAACTACAAAACAAGTTGCCATGGCAACAAACTACTAAAAAACAAAACAATAACGCTATGTTCGAATGTCTCGTGATGACCGTCCACGAGAGGAAAAGGAACCTCCTCTCCACCCTTACCCCTCTCGTCCCGTAATTTCACCAACAGAATGCTTCTGTAGTGACAAATCGGCCCTAAGCGACACCTCTTCTTCTATCGTCAGGCACGCAAACATCGACACAACGATCATATCAACGACCGCCATGCGTGAGACATTCGAACGAAGCACCTCCTTTCACAAAAGAAACTTTACACTTTTTTATTAAAGAGAAGGAGACGAAAAACTTATAATTCGTTGTTTATAATTAGCCGACTCTGTCGGGAACAACTTATGTTAAGCTCAAATACAAGTGCAACTTATAATGATTACTATAATTTAAAAGAGTTCAAAAACCATACATAATATAATTCACTGGTTCCAGACCCCATGTACACTGAATGGACAGAAATTATAAAAATAACTGTGCTAAAATGATCAATTAATATCATTTCGCCTTCCAGAGATTTTTTCATTTTAGCATACAAACTTTAACCTTGCTGGGCGATAATTTCTTCTGTATAAACAATTAAAACCACCGTACCAAGGTCCAGGGGATATAGTCAATCTACATGGAAAAATTATTTGGATGAAAATTTTTTGCGTCATTTCATGAAAAATGTGCTCCTGTTCGAGGAAGTTCAGTTTCTCAGGTGCCAATATGGTCAGAAATTGTTTAAACAAATGTTTTTAAAACAAATTCGTCAAAGTTGTTTTTTGGTATAAAAAAGATATTTTCATATTCTTTGGCACATTTGTAACAAAAAACTAATTAGGATGTACATTCCTAAGCCCCACAGTTTTTGAGTAAAAAATTCCCAAACTTTCGAAAAAAGCATTTTTTTTGCAACATTGTTTTTTGCGATAAACGTTCAGGGCGTTTCAACGCGCGCTCTCACGTAAGTATATACCTATATATTTTCACCACACGCTGAGCCACGAAACGTATAAATAGTTATACACTTACATATGAGCTCGCACTAAAACGACCTAAACGTTTATTGCAAAAAACAATGTTGCCACTCAACTTTTCGATATTTTCATTTTTGGAGATTGTAAAGAAGGCTTACAGTTTATAATCGTGTGTTGTAACGTATGAAAATATTTTTATTTAGCACTTCCGTGAAGCCCTCAAAATCGAAAAAAATGCATTTTTCGAAACTTTGGGAATTTTTTACACGAAAACTGTGGGGTTTAGGTATATACATCCCGGACAGTTTTTTGTTACGAATGTGCCAAAGAATATAAAAACATTTTTTTTATATCAAAAAAACAGCTTCGACGAATTTTTTTGAAAAACATTTGTTTAAACAATTTCTAACCATCTTAGCACCTGGTACACTGTACTTCCTTATACAGGAGCACATTTTGTATGAAATGGTGCAAGAAATTTTCATCCGGATAATTTTTTCCGGTAGATAAACGATGTCCTTCGGACTAAAACTACTGCGTAAAACAGTAAAAAATTGTTGCACAAATAGTTAAGGTAAATGTACCAATGCTTGGCCACCAAAAAATTGGTCCCAAAGACTGGCCACAATTACAATTTTACGATTTGCACAAATTTTTGCAGCTGTAAAAAATATCTTTACTTATATTCACGCTTAAAAATAATAATAATTTCATTGTTCATAGTTATCTTAAAAATACTTTAACCAGGAAATTAGAAAAAAGTGTTTCTATAAAGTGATTTTGGTCGGCTGGTCAGGCTTTGGGACATTTATCAGCGTAACCTAACTTTTAGTGTGTCCTAATAGCTAGCCAACGTTAATTGCGTGCAATTCATACGACATGTCATATAATAAATGAAAGCTTTTTTTCTGTGTATGAAAAAAATAATTTCTTTTTGGTACAGCTTAAAATAGTGTTATAACTATAAAATAATCCCTATTGGGACTTCAAATTTTCCTTTTTTTTATAGAGTACTTTAGAAATTGGTCTAGTAAGATGGCCAACGTTTGGTACATTTACCTTAAACGTAGTAAAAAAAAATAAAAATGTTTTATATGTCCGTGTAATACTAGATAACTGTTTTTGCACAGTAATTTTTGAGATGAGATCGATGGTCAAGTAGGAAACGTAAGTACTTATAATGGCCCTGAAAAGGGCAAGTGGTGCAACTTCCAGCTATTCATTATTATTCTTAATAATGTAGGGCTGGCTGCGGGCAGCTTGACTTTTACCCTCGAAGTATCTGTGTACGGAGACCGTGATAGAGAGAAGTATACCGCTGACACAAGAATATCTTGTCTTCGGGTCGTTCACTGGATACCCAACTGCTCATGGTTAGTCAGGAAAGTGGGCCTAGAGAATACCTTCTCTGTGGGTATGCCGTTGGGACGACCACTGGGAAGAAGGCCGTTCTGACTGTCCGTATTCCTCAGGGCTGTCTTCCCTAGCTTGTAAAGTGAAAAATTCTCTGATGGCACCAGGTTGGATGGTGGGACATCCGCACAATTCTAAAGTGTTAGAGCAGGAGGTGCTCTAGATCGACACATCTCCTGGTACTTCACTGGAGAGGTTATCGATTAGATTATTGAGTTAATGGTGGCACTTGTCCAACGTGGAGGTTCAGGCATTAATGTAGACTTAGGTTACTTGCCCATAGGAAGATAGCGTCGTCGATAACCGGGATACCCAGCTGCATAACTTACTCCTCCATTCACGATGCAGTTCGATGTACTGCTCGAAGGCAACTGCAAAAGTTGGGTGGACACTGCAGCGTATTATAACCACACTTATGTAATTCTACTGCAGGTAGCTTCGATTTTATGTTGAAGCCACCTAGTGGATCCTTCTGAACTAACGTGAAAAGCTACCGTATTTTTGCAAAATTTTAAGCTTTTTTATTGCCATTGTTATTAACTTTTTAACGATAAAAATCATACTAAAACCATCTAGGAAGGGTCAAGAATTGGTATGCAAAATTTGAGCAAGATCGGTTGAGTAGTTACCGTGGTTAGCGATTACAACGGTCTTAGCGACTTTGCTTTATTTATTAGTAAGATAAGATAGAGGTATATTTGCCCGTAAAGAAAAATCAGTGGTTAGTGCTTGGGTATACAAGTGTAAAGTTATACTATGAATTCTATGGCAGACTATATAATTATAAACATAAACGATACTGTGTACGATGATGGTGAAATTATCGTTAGAATGAGTATACCTATATTTATTGGGTAAGGTTTTAATAAATATTTTATTATTTAATAACAGAACAATTATAAGCAATACATATAATGGCACAATGTAATACAAACAATATGAAGGCTGGCCAGTACAAGACTGTGCACTTTCATGGAATCTTGCGATTGTTTCAAAACAACTTTCTACTGCCTAAGCTGACTACGTCTCTGACGTTACGCTCACACCTGTTACATATGATTTCACACTTATTCCTAGTCTATATTTAGTACCCAAAATGTAATTATATTTTGAAGATTCAGAAAAACCATACTGTAGTACCACTTTCTTCAATGGGATAGTATGACATGCCAGTAAATATCCCTCCTGGACGTTCATCACTCGTTGTTTTTTGGACAGATATTATTCAAACGTATATTCAGAATAGCACAAAAATTACCCAGAAAAATTGTAGAATGTTTAACTGTACCCTGTATTGTATTTATAATTAAAAAAAAAATTTAACATCTGATCTTATAGAAAAATCATGTAAAACTGCATTTATATGTTCCGTAGAAAACTCCCAATCTTTTTTGTATGAAAGATTACTTTTGGATAAACCTTTTGTATATGAAAATTGATTCACAGGTTGTTTTTTTTTTTACAACACACGAAAGAAGGGCTTACGCATGCGTAAAAGTGTGTTTGAAGATGCATTCATATGAAAAAAAATTATTGCTAGCGTTGCTGCATAATATTTGCGCTCCCTTCACCTTTCTAAAATCTTTTTTTGCTAACTGTGATAAACGTTTTTAAGTCAAAAAGTAACCTCAATCACTAATGAAAAAAAAAATAAAAGAGTGAAACGCAATACAAATCAATTTAATTTATAAAATAAAAAATTTTTTTTTTAATTATGAAAGTATGAAAAAAAAAAAATGGAAAAATTGTATGAAAATTTATTTAATTAGTGGAAAAGTAACAATTTTATGATAAATAAATACTAAATAATGTATAGAAAAGCTGTTCATCTCATATACACCAATTTTTAAGTTAAAAAAATTCATTTAACAAAAAAAAATTAATTGACTATGTAAATAAATTATTTATAAATCAAGCCACATTAATTAATGAACAGTGAATGAATGTTAACATTCAATAGTACATTACCATAGTAGTACGCGTGGAAGGCGATTGACGCACGCGTGTTAATCAAATAACCTCTCGCACGTGTGGTATATACAACTTTTCGACACAGCGTGCGGGGGGAACGAGATTATGAGCTATCTAATGTGGCTCTTTAAAGACCTTGACGTACACACGCACTAACACGAGTGCGTAGCATGAGCTGTGAGTAGCGTGTATAAATTGAGGTCTTTAGAGCCACCAAAGATGGCTCACAATTGAGTCCCCGCGCATTGCGTATTGAAAAATATGGTATAAACCGTACCACAACAAGAAGTAATTGAATCTCTAATAGCGGGTTCGCTTATGGCAAAGTGGGTGAAGGCTCTGTTTGTATGCAGAAAGTTGCGGAACATTTAAGTCTTATGAAAAGTGTTAAAGAATAACAAATAAAGTTAAATAAAATTTAAAGCGTGTGCTGTGGTGGCGTGCTTTGACTTGGCGTGGTGTGGAGGATACCGGTGCGTGGTGGTACAGTTAGGGGGTGGGGTGAAGGGGGATTAACATAAAAATTCACTTTTGTCACACATTTTGTCAACGTCAGAATTCTGAAATTATTGATTTACTCTCGTGCATAACACGCCTTCACAAGTATAATTTTAAAAACTAAGGGAAAAGCAGAATCCAGTGGTTAAGAGATAGACAGCAACGGTAGATTCCAATTCACGCTTTCGTGAAAAAGTTATGAGTCAAATTGCATGCATACGTAAATTGAATATATTAGTTCTACGCTGAGGTTCATCTTCTTAGTTCTGTTCATCTTGCGATAGATATAACATTAAACGTTGATAAGAAAAAAATTTGACTTCAGCACTAACGGTGACGTGGATGGTAGCAACGATTTTTTACTATTTGCACGCAGTTCAGCTAGCGTGCTACGCAACATATAGGTGTTTTATTTGCGGTTGCGTGTGTACTGCTACCAATCATCAATAAAACTCTGGCTTGACGTGTATACATATGTAGAGTGGATGTAAATACATTTCCAAGTCGCTCGCAGAACAAAGACATAAAAAAAAGAAAAAGAAAGAAGGGACGAAGAAACAGCAAAAGAAAAGGTCTGTAATATTGTAATAATTATCTAAGCAAAGGCTCTCAATGGTAGTGTAAAGGCAAATAGTCGCAGATTGCCTTCCATCCGTGAGTTTTACATTTGAATACACTAGTGGCTATGCAGCGAAAAATTATGTTGTAAAGTCTAATTCTGGTGTTTTGTTGCTAAAGAGGTGAGCTGTTGGTACCCAATGGTTGTTTTCTGTGAATCTAAGCTATGACTTGTAAGGTCACATCGCACATGGCATACCGGTTCTACGTTACTGTACATTTTGCAGACTAACAGAAATTGCAGGAATCGAACATTGAATTATGCAGTTAAATAGGAAGTGGAAGATGAGCAATTTTGAAGATACACAAATAAAAGTGAATAATAGACTGTAAAGCTTAATGCGTCTAGGAAAAAAAGTTTAATTACGAAGAAGAGAGTATTTACGAAGCCAGTTGCATTAAAAACCATGTATCAATACTAAAGTGCAGGTATGCATAGTTTGCAGCAAGTTTCTATTTTTCATCATAACCACGTATTACCGCGAGTTTGATGGATATATACGTACTTTGTATTTTTCTTCTACCTTATCATTATAAACGTACTTTTAATTATACTTATAACAAAATATATGAGTAGGTGGGTTCTGTCAGTGTTCAATAATGTTATTTAAAGTTTACTTAAGCGAAAAAAAAGAGAAATGTGCACAGTGCACACAGCGATGCATATCAATAAAACTAGGTAGATATGTATCAAGTTTCTTACGCTTAATATAGCCCAAATTGTTAGTTAAATTCGAAACAAATTTTTTCACTATTTTGTTGATTTCAATATTTTTAAAATAATTTATAAAAATGTAAGAACTAAATAGTTTCGTACACTTGTATGATTAGAATATTAGAAAAATTAAGTAAAGTTAATAAGCGACTGGGTTAACAAACAACGACGAAGATACTTTAAATATCGTCTACGGAATTCCGTATCTTCTTCGTCGTTGTTTGTTAACCCAGTCGCTTATTAAGTTAAAGTTAAAGTAAACTGATGAAAAATTAAATAGGCAATTTAAACTGTTAGTGTACATAGGCTTTCTCTCAAGCCCTGTTACAATATTGGGAAATAACGTTAGGAAAGATATTATTCATAAGTAAGAGACAACTCCACTGTTTCAGGTAGTGGAAGAGAATAGCAAAGCCATTGCGGTCACCGAAGGTTTCACGAGTCTATGCGTTATATTATCAACATAAGTAGTCAATGAAGTAATGTATGCTTATAGACGGATAAAGAAGAGTCCATCACCCATATATCAAAAATTTAGACACACTATTAAGTGACAAAATTGTAAGATGTTTGAGCCAATTAATTGCAAACTAAAAAAAAAGTGTCAAGTATAATAAGTTTATCTTATAAATTCAAGCTTCATCTTTCCAATTTTATTCCTAAAAAGAATAGGATACTGTGGTTACTTTCGATAGTAAGCACAAAGGAAAATAGACAACCGTATTTTATGTGTTCGTTGTTTGACAGGCGCAATCAGGATTCGTAAGTTCCAATAAATAATGGTATATTTTTCATTTTTATGAACATCAGAAATTATGCTACTTTCAATATTATTTTGATGATATTCAATTAGAAAAATAGAATAACTGACCCAAAAACATTTAATTTTTATTTGATAGCTTGAATTTCCTTGGCTAATCAAAAAGATCACTATAGAATGTACAGGCATTGAGTGTTATACTAGTTATATTGCAAAAATAGTTAGCAGTTAGTGGTTTTTTACACATATTCAATTTATTTATTGTTTTCATGTTTACGTTGATGTGTTATACATATTTTTTCGTACAGTGTGCAATTTTACAAGTATAGTACACGCTGCTAGTTTCCAGACTGATAGAACGTGAGGAAATAAAAATACATGTGCAATAAATATACGAAGGATAAATACATATGGAAAAATATATACGGGTAGGTCGCGCTGGCGCAAAGGTAGAGTTGCAGTTCCATCAATCTCTAAAATTAAGCAGCATTTGAGGTGATTAGTACTTGGATGGATGACCGTTCAAGTCTCGTCGTTTCGCTTGTGCTATTGATTCTCAAAGGTCGATTAAATGTTTCTTTTACGCTTCGTCAAAGTGATCATAGGTGTGATTAAGTTGCATCTGGCCATAACTCAGTTGAACAGATGGCTGCTGAAAGACACTGTTCGTGTGTGAAAAAGCCACGTCTGAGCCTACGGGTAATGATTCATAACAAAAAAAGTATTTCTTTATGGGTCATTCTATAAAAACTGACATAATTTAAGGACTAGAATAGATAAACATTTAAAATGGATTTTCAATTTTTCAAACATTTTTTTTGTTTTCTTTGAGAAAAAAATTAACTAAAATTGTTTGGGACCTGCTGGGTTTGTACGAGAAAAGTTTTTACGACAACTTTTTATTTTATTTAAAAAAAATAGTACCGTTAGAGGCTCTAACAAAATCTTGTTATAATCAAGATAATAGCACTCTTAACGAATATTCGACGGTATATTATGTACTTATGATTGATACTTGTACAAGTCACTATACGAGTCGATAATCCAACATTTACCGAACGTTACAAGATAACCTTGCGGGCTCTTAGCAAAAGAATGAAAATGAAATTCACCGTTGCACTTATATCATATATATAAACTTCTCGTAACGATACGTAACATTTCTTAGCATTACAAGCTCTTAGTTTTTATTTTGGAGAGATTAAATTTATGATTTTGAAAACCCGTAGCACTAAAATAAAAAAAAAAATGTAAAAAATTTTTGCATAACAAATTTGTCAGATTTCAGTCTCGCAACTTAAACACTATCCAAGTCTTAGATAATATTTATTTGGGTTCTCTAAAATGCATAATTAAGACCCCATGCCGTAGAAAAGTTAAAAAAACCCGTATTATGCTTTCAGGCATTACCAAAACAGCAAACTTACGAGTTAGACACTAGCTTGTAACACTATTAACCCCTTTTTTATATTTTAAATAAAAGCAATATTTTTTTTATGATCTAAATTCCGTTGTATTTTCAGTAGAAAAAATTCCTCTTATATTTAAAAAAGCTTTCAGACCGATACATCCTGACACGACGTTGTAATTGATTAAGACATGAAATAAAACGGTTTGAGTTGATGATCCATATGAATATATTTTTAAAATATACGCATACAAAAGACCCATTTACATAGAACATACACGTACTCTAGAATACCAGGCAATAAAAGACGTTTCTTATAGACACAATATATAGAGTTACAAATAGTATAGGACTCACCAGTTGGAAGGGGCACGGGCTCGGTGGTTGGATGGTGGGCGAGTGCCTCGCCAGGATAAGAGAACGAACCACCTGGGATGGGCGAGTAGGAGCCGCAAACGCCACCGCCTACACCAACGCTCTCAGCTGTGGGTGCCGGATAAGACGGCGTCGACGGGTACGCCCATTCGCCTGGTGCCGTTGCTACTGCCACTGATACTGTCGACGCGGTACTATCAACGGTTGTTGCTTCTGCTGCTGTTGTTACTATCGTTCTTGCTGTCGTTGTTGTAAGCCCTGTAACCTCATCTGTATCTATTAAAAAGAAAAAAAGCAAGGTCATCCAATTACTACATTTTTTTCGATTTATAAGGTTTTTTTCTCAAAGTTTAACATTATGTAATTTTTTCATCTCATTGGAGTATTTTTTCACGCACTGCCAGCGAATGACTGTGGCATTCGGTTACTTGCACGGGGATATTATGACCAGATTTACTTAATTCCATTCAAAGTAGCTTCGATTTCACTTCTACTTCACCTAGTGAATCATACTGAACTAAAAAGGAAAACTACCGT